AGAAGCTTCTCTAAGTGCCCACTATGCCCATACACAGGAGGGGACAGAGCCAGAGCCAGCCAGGTAGGAGGTAGGTGCAGCCATAGCTCCAAGCCAGCAAAGGCCAGTTCAGTTTTTCCTGTGGCCACGGGGGTATTCCCCACTCAAAGCCTACCAAAGCTGAAGCCCTATGGGCTCCAGCCTGATTTCCTCTAAGTAGGGACTGGGGTGGTGCTGAGGACAGAGCTTCCAGATGAAGCCTCTAAGCTGGGGGAAGAGTGCAGATGGTGGGAAGAACTGACCAAGAGGGTGGGGCCAGAGCAAGCTGGGCAGGAGGCAGGCATGGTTCAAGCACCAGCCCCACTAATGTCAGTTCAAATGAGCTGCTGTTAGCTCGTACAGTTGGGGGAGGGGTACTTCCTGCTCACAGCCTGCCAAAGCTGCCACTCAGGGTCATACAAAGCAGGGCCCACTGAGTTCCAGCCTGATATGGTAGAGGGGAAGGGTCCAGTTCCCTTCACTGATCCTGCCCTGCAGGGCAGGGCCTGGGCTGCTATGGGGGAGAGGCAGCTTCCTGTCTCCCTTCCTCACTCCTGAGCCTGGCCAAGGGGGAACCATTCTAGCTTGACTGTCTAAGGCAGTGGGTGTGCCCTTGACACACCAGCACAAAGGGAAGCAGACCCTGGTTACCGAAGGGGAAGATAAGCTGTGGCCACAAGCCAGCTGGCGCCTAAATCACTCTCTGTTATGCCAAGCAAGGGAAAGATTCAGAGGAGGAAAAGTCTAGATGCAGGAAAGCCTGATCTCTGGTCCCTGGTAGCATTCTCCAGCAGGATGAGTGCTCCCATGTCCTGCTGCCAGCTGAGAGTCATGGGAGCATAAGGGAGCCAGGGAGGAGATCCCCCTTATCTTTCCACTTGAGTCCAGGCTTCCTCAGATCTGGTCTGCTTTGCCAATCTCCTCTTCTCTTTCTTCCTTTCTGTCTTCATCCTTGCAGCTCTCAGTGGGGTTGCTGACGCCTATGTTCCTTCTCCCTGCAATCTGCTCCCATCTTCTTGGGTCAAACCCTCCTACCCTTGAGCTGGGACAGTCTGATGAGAGCTGCCTCTAGTTGGTTATCTAGCCTCTGCTCTCTGAAACATATGTATTTCATGTTTAGATTTGGGTCACATCTTCAAGATATCTCATTATATATATATAAATATTCCAAAAATCAGAAAAAGTCTCAAATCCAAAACACTTCTGGTCCCAAGCATTTCAGATAAGGGGTACTCACAAATTGAAAGTAGTACTCACAAACTACAGTACAGGCTGGTTTCCATTATATCTCCTTTGCTGCCATCTACTGACAATTTTATGTAATGTAAAATGTCAAAAGCCCCTGTCTTCACATGGCCATTTCCTTTTCCTATATAGTGCTCTCATTGGGTTGGAAGTGCTTGCAAGGGAGCCTGGAGGTTTCATCTGTTGTTCTGCATTGGTGGTGGTACTTAATCTCAGAAAAACCTACTAAACTTGACTCTGAGTCCTGTAAGAAGCAAGGCAAGCTGACCTCTGTAAATGTTAAGTGTGGTCCAATTGTAGCCTAAGCAAAAAGTCACTAGGTAATCATGAACAGAGCCAGCTCATTATTGAACAAATATATGATATGTTTTAATTGCAGCCAAATGTGTCACAATGAGAAATAAGTGTTTTCTATAAATACATGCTGCCATATGTATACATCATTTCATATTTTTGTACTGTATCTTTGGGAACAACTCCTAGAAGCATTAATTTCTGGATCAAAGGGTGAATGCATATGTTAATCTGCTAGAGATTGCCAAATCCCTCCTCATTAGGGGTTGCACCATTTTGTATCCCCACCCTCAGTGTGTGAGTTTGGCTGGTTCTCCACAGCCTCACCACCAGAGTAGATTTTACACCTTTGATCACTTTTGATATCTAAGAATTGGTAGGTCTTTACAGTTTTAATTTGTTTCTCTTATTGTTTCTGTCAAGGTCCAGCCAGAATAAGAGAGACCAGATCAATTATTTTAATAGAGAAAATTGAATAGAGGTACTAGGTTAGACATGAATTGGTGGACTAAACAGGAAAAAGGAAATAAGGAAATAACAGAGACAATGTTAGGAGAGTGATACATTATACAAATTGATACTATTCTTAAACGCTCTATAATTTGGTAGAAACATTTATGACAAAGATAATTCCTAAAAAAATTTACAACTAAGTCAATTCATGTATATTGATGCAAAGCTCTAAGTAAAATAGTGCCAGATATTATAACAGTAGAATTATAAAATGCCATTACTTATTAAGACTACATTGCAAAATTTATTCTGATACACTACCAACTATGTGGGACAAAGGAGAAAAAAATAATGATCTCACAAAATAACTGTGTTAAGATTAATCTTGCTTACATTTAAAGAATTACAATGCTATGCTATTCCCACCTGATTTTACTGTAAGAAATGCAACTGTGAATTGTTTCTGTAGTTTTTGTCTCTTTTCATCATTTAAACTGTTTAAATTGATCAATTCCAAACTGAAGTGCATTATTTGGTACCCTTTCAGAACAATAATCAGAAAAACCCAAGAAAAACAAAATAATTGTTTTTATCAGATAAACCAATCTAAAAATGACAGAAGAGAATCTCTGGGCTATGAGTTTTACTACAGAAATCTGAATTTAATAAACAGCCCATAACAGTTTTCCCTCAATAAAATGAAAAGATAGACCCCAAGTTACCAAGGTGGTAAAAAGTCCCGTCTCAATCCTTATGAAGTCCCTTTGACATCTCTAGGGCTACACAATGATCTAGGGTACTCATGTGGCACCTGGACATCAGAGGATCCTCTGTTCTTTAGTTCATCATGATTGCAATGGGAATTTTGCTTGTCCAAGCTGGTCGGTCATTTGATATCAAGGAGCGGACAGGGACAAGAGGTCCTTGCTCTTGAAAAGGAGTCCTCTTGGCACTTATTTACCATCCTCTACTAGTGCAGCCACACTATTGTTATGAGGGTGGAGGGACACTAATCCCTTTTCTCTATGTCTGAAGAAAACTTATCAGCTTTGGGACTGATTTTCAGATTTCAGGGGGTGATGTTGCAGTACATTCTGGCCCCTCTATGTGTATAGACTTTTACCCAGAGCCACAGATTCACAGGACATAAATAAAATACAAACAAGTTTTGTACCAAATCTACTCTGAATCTTGATGGCCTAACTCAGCCATTTCTCATTCACATGTTGTATCTAAAGCAGGTTGTCAAGGGGCTTAGGAACTGAACATATACTCTACTATGGCCCGGATGGGAACATGAAGAATTACACCACAACTTTTAAAAGGATTAGTCAATTGCCCAGAATTAGTCTTCTTAGCCCACGAAGTGTCAGGAAACCTAGGGGAGCACTTGTGTATTTGCTCACTAAATATTCCTTTCTCCTTCTTCCACACAGAACACACTCACCTTCTCTCCAAGGATGGCAAGCTCAAATCCCATATAGTCACACTCTAATCTGAAAATCCAAAACCTCTGGGTTGTGTCTAGATGAGGCTTACCTCTATTTTGCATTGGTCCGGAGGTCTAGTACCCAAAAGATCTGTGCTCTTCTCCACACATTTCCCAAATATGGTGGAGGAATAGTAATGCATCACCACGCTCAATAGTGAAGAATAAAAAATGCAAAGATGACCCTGATCTGTGGTAATTTAATACCCTGATAGGTATATTGCTTAATTATTCTGATTATCACTCTTCTAGACAGTCATGCAGTTGTCAAAATATGAAAATTCATGAATTTAAGAATGATGTTGATCCTAGTCATAAACTATTCTAGACACAAAATTATTAACAGGTATTATTTATAGTAGATCCTCAACAGAGCCCCACAGCTAGAACCCTGCCAACAAGTGATATGGACATGGCTCTAACAAGGTGGTCAAAGATCAGGTCTTCTATAAAAGACAACTGCAATCACCTTATACTTATGAAACACTTAGTGACTACCCTGTTGAAGGAAACTCTATCAACAAGGTCACCTTCTAGGACTGCATGCAAATGCAAGGCCAGGAAGGAAGCAAAGTTTGAGACTGAGGAAAATAAAAAGCAGGCATAACAGGTAATTCTTCCAAAGTTTTGTTTTTACATCTGCTGTCTAAATCGTTAAAACAATTTCCCAGAAAAAAAATAAATGGAGGCAGTAGTATGCAAAATATTTATTTTTATGAATAATTGTCACTAATACAGTAGGAACTGATATAATTATAAAAGATATAAAAAAAAAGAATGTTAGCATACAATAGAAATTAAAACCTGAGCTGAAGGCTGATCAGAATGTCTGAAACTGGCACCGTTCTGATGGAAGTTGAGAGACACGTTTGGTAGAATTCTCAAATTCATGAAATGAAGAAAAAGTTAAATTTCAAAGGAGCTACAATCCTCTGACTCTTACATTAAGTCACTTATTGACAAACATTTAAGATAAGCAGGCTTATCTAAAGCTCAGTCTTGAAGGCAGAGAGATATGTAAATTACAGATTTTTTAATTAGCAAGAAGGCAAGCTGAAATTTTGTTGGTAAAATATGCTTTGTTTATTCATGTGGATCTAAAAGTCTGGCTCAGTTTGTCAGAGCACAAGAGAATGTCAAGAGGTCAAGGACATGAGGATGGATCAACGTCCATCCATCCCAACTCCTGGAAAACAAATGACACAAAATAAAAGAATAGTATTAGCAGGAATAAAAGACATGAGGTCTAATTCAGTTCTCACTTTGGATTCTGGACTATCTCTTACTAAAAAAGACGGTGAAAACAAAACTTCTTACTCCTTTAATTAATAACTATAAGTAAAAGGGAAGAAACAAAAGAAAGCTAACACAGAGTGATGGACCTTGTTGATTAAAATTCTGTGAACTTGACTACATTTTGATATGTTGAATCTGAGTCATACTTATAAATGGCTAATATATGACAAAACTTTACAAAGTTAAAATTTCATTTGTTGCAGAACTTCAAAACTAATGGAATTAATGTCTTCTCCCTTTTATTTCGTTATTCTTTCTGCAGAATGCTAAAATCATCAGCATGCCTGTACTTTTCACAAATATGTCTATACAACATGATGGTTTTTGTCAAAATGATGCAGGAAGCAATTTCAAATGAGGTCAAGGATCTTGTACTTTTTCAAAACATATTTTTAGTTCTTTGTGCTCCATGTCACATAAAAAAGAAATGAGGGCAGCTAGACTCATGTGGTTTCTTTTAGCCCAATGTCATTAATTCTCAATGTCTCCATGTGAGGAAGGATCCAGTATTTAAGTGCTCTACTATAAAGCATCTCCACTTCTAAAAGAGACTGCTTTATTTTTTACTACTTTTTAAAAAGAGGGCTGGTCTTAGCGGAGGCGAGCCACTGACTTCCTTCCTGTACCAGCTTTCCAAGAGGATAAGTGAGTTTTTGCCCTGATATTTTTACCCCGGGTTTTACGAGGCTTCTCTTCTTTGTGCACCTTTGTGTGCTGCCTCAGATGAGAGCTCTGGCTGAAGCATTTGCCACATTCACTGCACTGGTAAGGTTTCTCCCCAGTGTGGGTTCTCTGATGTTGAATAAGGTGGGAACTCTGGCTGAAACATCGGCCACATTCATCACACTGATAGGGTTTTTCTCCAGTATGAATCCTCTGGTGCTGAATGAGATTGGAGCTCTGTTTAAATCTTTCTCCACACTCATCACATATATATGGCTTTTCCCCAGTATGGATCCGCCGATGTTGAATGAGATTAGAACTTTGAAAGAAACTTTTCCCACAATCAGCACATTTATGGGATTTCTTTCCAGTATGAATCTTCTGGTGTTGAAAAAGAGTTGAACTCTGACTAAAGCTCTTTTCACATTCAGTACATTTATAGGGTTTGTCATCCAAGCTTCTTCTCAGTCTACTCAAGCTTGAGTCAAATCGAATAGTCACTCCCCATTTTTGCCTCTCCCGGCCTGTTTTGCGCTTATTCTCAGAGGCTCGTCCTTGGCTTGAGCTTCGAGAAATACCTCCTTTAGTTTTTCCTAATTTCATGGTGAATAGTCAGATGTACTTGTAAGCGAATCCACTGTCTTCTTCTAAACCAAAGTTCCGTTTCCTAGAGCTACACAGTTGAGAATTTTTTGCCTGTAGAAGAAAAAATACAAAATATTATAGATGATTTACACATTATTCAACTTTAACATCTCTTCAACCCATCATAATTGCAATCATGCTTAAATTAAAAATATATTCAATACAAATGCAGAATAAAAGAGACTTCAGGGGAAAATACTTACAAAGAAGTTCTAATAATTCCAAAGTTTAAGTTAATATATATCATCAAATTGTCACTGACTATACCTTCAGAAATTTTGTCCCTTAAAACTATATACTCATTTTATAATGCCTAAAATTATATTTATTTATAATAAATTCAATATAAAATTTACATAAATATAAATTTTTTAGGCATTGTAAAATGAGCATATAGTTTTCAAGGATTAAAAAATAGAGACAAGATAAAATCCTAATGGGAATAGAAAAAATAACTCCAAAGACAATCAAAATTATGTAACCGAATATTATTATGTTTTAATATTTACCCTCATATTAAACTTCTACTTACTGAAGACTATTTAATTAAGCTATCCAAATTGGAAAAAAATAACAAATTACACTACTTGATGCTAGTTACTTCCATAGCTATATATGTCAAGTTAGGTCTAATTTTGTAGTGTAAACTGCTTCGAAAGTAGAAACTACTCTACAAAGTATGTATATAAGGAGTAATAATAGATTTACTGTCTCTATGGAGAGATGTCTTACTATTACTTTTTCTAGAGCCTAATGATCTGTAAAAGAAAGCAATTCACTAACAACCTAAAACAGAAGCATTGTTTTTAGAGAGAAAAAAACCTTAAAACAACTTTAACTAGATAGTAGAATGAAACTGAGTAGAAAAAGTGTGGTAGGTAAAACACAAGAAAAGGGGAGGGGGAAGTAAGTTTACATGTAAAAATAGGATGAAATTTTAAAAATTCCCAAATGCAGAGCAGCACCTGTTGCTCAAAGGAGTAGGGCGCCAGCCCCAGATGTCACAGGTGGAGGGTTCAAACCCAGACCCGGCCAAAATCTGCCAAAAAAAAAAAAAAAATTCCCAAATGCTAAAAAATTCAAAAAGTTTTATTTATTTACTTATAAAGTTGTCTTGAGGTTATTTAAAATAACACCAAAGCAAATAAACAAATAAACCCCAAACTCAAAATAGGTGGCAATGTGGGAGAAGCTAGGACTGCAAAAATAATAAAATGATTTAAACTACTTTCCATATCAAGATGGAAATTTTAGACGTAGATTTTAAAATAGGAATAATTATCCTAGGTTTCTTTTCATACAAACATGTAAAGCAAATAATGAAAAAACAACACTTTTCGTCCTTTCATCTTATTGTATAATTAAGACTTCTGGCACAAGACTTTATCTGGATACTTAATAACTGTGTTTACTGTAATTATGGTCAGTATAAGAAAGAGTAAGCTGCTATAACACAAAATTACAGAGCAAGCACTACCCATTCCTTAACTTAACCAAATATTTACCGAACATTTACTACATAGGAGACATTGTGTTAGGTACATGGTGTTGTATTAAAAAATAACTATAACAAACCCAGCCAAAAACTGCAAAAAAAAACTATAATAGTAATTATGAATATTTTAAAAATGCATTTCTTAATACTTAATACTAAGTCAGTGGTAGGAAATGCTGAGACTATGAAATCTTCCTTCCGATGGGGAAATCATACCATCAGGTAGCTTATGTGCCAGACACTGTATCAGCAGCTCTTTAACTAATATAACAACACGATGCAATTATCTCCATTTTAAGGTAAGGAAAGGAAGGCACAATGCTAGTTAACATACTGGCCAGGTTCCCAACCCCTAGCAGTTTGACTCTGGAGCCTGTACTGTTAGAGACAGAAAGGATGCTCACAGCCCTGTCTGCCAGCGCCAAGTTCAGCGCGTGGAATCCTGCACTCTGACCGGTGCACTGCATAAAGCCCTGGCACGTGCGAGCACTAAGGAAAACTCCAGCGATAGGAGCTACTCGTCTTGCAAACCCAGCTAACTGGAATGTGCCTCAGTTTACTCATACAAAAAACTGGCATGGTGAAAACAAAGTAGCAACAACGTCAAGACTAGAAGTTAAGTGAGTATCTACCCGTACATCACTCAAGCAGCCCTGTGCTGCCTAAGCATTTGGTCAGTACATTTAAGTACTTAAGCGCGCCGAGCCACGGAAGGACACAGGACAGACGCTCCCCGCCGGGTTCCCCGCCTCTGGCCCAGTCCCGAGCCCCTATACAGGCCTCTGCCGGCCGGGGTCCGACCCGGGGCCTGCTCAGCCCTCCCGCCCCGCTCCCTCCTCCCCGGCCCGGCCTGGAGGCCTCGGCGCCCGCCGCGCCGTGGTCCCGCTCCGTGCCGCCCTGATGAGGCCAGTTCGCGGCCGCAGAGCCCCCGAGCGCCCGGCCGCGGCCCCCACGCAGCCCGGGCCCACTCACCGCGCGGGGCCGACCACCGCCCTCGCTCCTGCTCGCCGCCCGCGCCGCCGGAAGTGCGGGCCGCGCGGTTCGCCGGCGCCGCCGCCGCGGTCGCTCTAGGAACGTGGCAGAGCGACCCTCTATGGTCCCAGGCCCACCAGAAAGAGTTTTGTTGGTTTTTTTCTCTGCAGATTCAGTTTTTCCTCTCGTCCCTTGGGAGGCGACTCGTGACACCCCAGGCTCTCAAGACCTGTGGCCGCTTTTGAAACCAAACACCTGCCTGTCCAACCTCGAAGCTGCATTTTCTTTTTCCTACAAATGTCGAGCACCTGGTATAAAGAGATACTTTGGAGAGCCAAACTATTCCTGACCTTTTTCACGAAGTCACTTTAATTATTACCAAAAAGCTCCTGCAAAATGGGAATGATTACACTCAATTTACAGAAAAGGCTTAGAGAAGAAATTTGCTCAAGACCAGGCTGTGTAAATGGACAGTCTAGGATTGGAATGGCTCTTTACGGCACTAGAGTCTGTTGATTTTCAACAAACCCCTCTAAGTTCCTCTTAGTAATGATGTCGCTTGGTTCTTCCTCCTTACAGACAGATTACTCCTCCTCAGCCATCTGACCTCTCCTCTTTCCTCTCCCGGGAGTTCCTCCATCGATGGCCTCACATAGTATCACGATGTGCTGAAGACTCCTGGCGTGTTAACTCCAGTCTGACCGTAGATGCATATACTGAACTCCAGATTAGTATATCCAGTAGAATACTCAGTAGCTGCATTCACTGTGTAATTCATGTCCCAAACCTAACATGTCGCCAAATGAATTCCTCATATTCACCTAACCTGTTCTTTCAACAGGAGTTGGCAACTTCAACTTTGCAGTTGCTCAGGCCTAAACCTTTGATGTCATTGTTGTCTCTTCTTTTTTCACCCCAAACCCACATGCAATTCATCTGCAAAATGTTGGCTCTGTCTTCAAAGTATATTCATTACCAAGCTATAACTTCCATCATGCCACCCACCCTGTCCTCTTGTATTGGCTTCCTGACTGGTTTCCCTACAGTCTATTCACACCTCAAAGCAATCCTTTTACAATCTAAGACAGGTCATGTCACTCATTTCTTTAAAACTTTCCAAAGGCTTTCTTTCCATCTTATCAGAGAAAAAGCCAATGACCTTGTAGTGGCACACAAGCCTGTCATGATATGTCTCTTGTCTGCAGTGCTAAGAATGGTGCTCAGCATGTGGCAGGCACTCAGTTAAATATTTGTTGAATGAATGAATTTAAAAGATGCCATATTGTTTTATAAAATGCTTTTACATCTGTTCTCTGGTCATTCATCTTTAGAATCATCTCAAGAAGCAGGGATTGTAGTGTCTGGCTTGCAGATGAGTGAAATGAGGCAAGAGAGGGAAACTTTGTCTGAAGTAATAAAGTGAGTTTGGGGAGGAAGCTACGAAATCAAAGGCTCATACACTCGAGCTGGGGTTTTCTGCTCTGCAGGGAGCTGCCCCTGGAGATGGCAAAGCAAGGAGCTAAATGAGGTCTGGACAAGGAAGTTCCACTCAATAATCTAGATAATAGCTGGACTACTTGTAAAGATAAGATGAGGTAATAACATAAGGTACTTATCACAATGTGTAATACACAAGAAATGTGAGCTGTTGCTATTGCTACTAAATTATTATTACAAGTTGTTAAAGCTGGTGGTCAGAGGGGTTGGGGGTAGAGGGCAACGTCAGAGACCCAGAGATGGTTTAGAAAAAGGATTTTTTTTTTGGTATTATAGTTTATTTATTTCAATCTCAGGTTAATATGAAGGCACAAACAAAACAAATCACAGTACAAGAAAAGATTTTTTTTTTTTTTGCAGTTTTTGGCCGGGGCTGGCTTTGAACTCGCCACCTCCAGCATATGGGGCTGGTGCCCTACCCCTCTGAGCCACAGGCACCACCCTAGAAAAAGTTTTAAGAGAAAAGCTGACCTGTTGGGGCTGTGCTCTATGTATATGAAAATAAAAAGATAATTTTTTTCAAAAGCAATTTTGTAAGATAGTTATGAATTATAACCAATTCTTTCCATGTTCCACATAAAGGTGGATTATTTCTTTTTTCCCTACCTGAAAGCAACTGGGCCGGAGGTGCGCAGATTAAAGCGTTGGGTAAAGAAAGACAAATTTTTAAAAAGAAAGAGATGAAAGCATGAAATAAAGGGGTGTGGGCGGCTAAGAGTGGATGGAGGTGAAGATGCAAAGACAGACGATTTTGAGAAAAGGATATGGAGGAGAGTGAGGATAAAGAGGAAAGGGAAAAGAGGAGAGAATACAGGCAGGTTTGATGCCCGCTGTTTATCTGTTCCTATGATCATAGATAACATTCTATGAATGCTGTGTGCTGTGTGCTGGGAGCTGTCTGAAGCACTTGTAATACCTCATTTTAACATCCCTGTGATCTCAGTGTTCCTGGGCATGTGCTCTGCCCTTCTCTGATCTGACATCCCTGCCTATTGTAGTATGACTGCCGGTGTCTCCTGGTGAACTATGTGCTCATCCCACTGATGTTGACTTGATCACATGACTTGCAGTGACCCACTGCACGTGAGTAGATGCAAGGTCCACTGTGTCCCGGAAGAAGCTTTGAGCCACTGTGCTTCCACCAGGGCTCTACTGTTTCCGTCCTCCTTCAGAAGTGTATGTCCCAAGTAGGGGCTGCCCCTTTGGTCTAGAACCCAGGATGAGAAGACAGACACATGTCACAGAGCCACGAATATCCCCCTGTAGCCACGTCATGGTATCATACATAACATATCAGAAATAAATGCCCTGGTAGCACTGAGATTTTTACTGTTATCTGTGACTGCATTCAAGTTGACTAATATAGTGATACCGCCCAATAACCTTGAGATAGAAACTATTCTTTCCCTATTTTACAAATGAGGAAACTGAGGCATGAAACTTGCCCAAGGTAGGTCACACATTTAAAAATGGTACAGCCAGGCTTTGAAGCCAGAGAATATGGCTCTGAAGTCTATGTTCTAAAGAAAATAATAATAATAAAAATAAAGTTTATGTTCTTAACCTCTAAATCATAGTGTATATCCCTCACATGGAATTCTAGGTTATTTTTATGTGAATTAAATCATCGAAAATGGCCACCCATGATCTTTACAAAACACAAAGGAAAACGGGGAAGCAGGTTGGGGACACATAGTCTGGGTGTATCTTTCTGGGGAATCTGGGCCAGAAGAGGCTAGATCTCTTAGTGGCTGAGACATCTCTGGGAAACTTCCCAGCAGAGGCCAGTGTGCCCCTGAGCCTGGTGATGTTTGGAGGGTTCATTCTAGGAAGAAGAGTCTTCTGGGCTAAGAAAGACTCTTAGAAAAATCCTAGCAAGACAGTTTCCTTTTCCTATGGCATCTGCACCCCCACTCGCAGACACACACACATACACACACGCATACACACATGCATACACACACACACACACATGCTGTCTCAACAGAGAGCACTGCTGCCTTGGTTCTGTGTTTGGCAGCACTGGCCCCAGCCTAAATGCTAGAAGACCAGTTATATGTGTGGCCCAAGTGCTGTAACAAGAGTGGCCCATCCCCCACGAAGGGGTCTGCTCAGCACAAGGACCCTGCACAATGATTGTGTCCACCAAGCCTGAGACTTTGCTTTCTGTTTCCTTTGGACTCCCTGGGAAAGGAAACCCTGGGAATTCCCATTCTTGGGTCTGCGAAAACATCTCTGTTAGAGCCCAACCCAGGGTGGGGTGGGAGGGAAGGCAGAGAGCCCCACCCTGTACAATGTGAGTCTTGGACACGTCAGCAGTTGGCTTGCTCCCAGATAACTGCAGCTCATGGGGCCTAAATATAGTGTATGCATCTGACTGTTCCTACACTTGGAGCTGCTTGGTTCTAATTGACAGAGCTTCCTGCCTGATCACTGAGGGGCTGAGGACGGGGGGCTACTGCCCACTATCACACCTGACAAGGATATCCGCTGCCACCTCTGCAGCTGCAGAGTATCCGTGTCCTACACATGAGGGGCACAGTGTACATTGCTGGTTCCTGCACAAATCATCTGATCAGACTGGATAAGCCTTGGGACTTGTTTCCCTGGGCCTAAGGGTCCAGATGTATCCGGGGTGAATGCAAGATTTTATTTTGACTGTGGGACGGTCTTTAGTTCATTTTCTAGTAAACATTTCCAAGCAGGTAGCAGCATATGGTTATGACCAGGGAAAAACAAGATTTTTTTTGAACCCTTCTGGTAATTTGCTCTGGGAAAACAGTCCTGTTTTTCCTGAGTCCAGTTCTTTTGCAATCATGTTTTCATCCTGTGCTGTTTATTATTCTCTTTGGTTTTGAGACCTGACTGGGAAAACAGTCCTATTTTTAGGAGAGTTCTCTCTGATAGGGATCTTTGCTTTATCATTGGCTACCTTTATTACCTAAGGTACTAGTTAGCCCAAGAGCATATCAGGAATACCCTAAAATCTACAGAGAAAGAAAGCTAGAGCTCCCTGTTGAAACCAGCAGGAACCACAGCACCTAGCCCTTAATGTCTGAAATTGTGGGTTCAAGGCATGCTGAATTAGCAGCTTTCAGATTGCCTCTGAAGAGCAAATATGACATTGATAAAAAGATTGTTGACCCTCTCAGATGATTTCATCAGTATGCCTTTTCCCCTTTTCTGTGCAACTTGCTAGTGATTTTGCTTAGCTGTAATATTTGGAAATTAGTTTTGAAATGTCTATATTAGAGGTGACACATACCTAAAGAGGCCTTAAATAATATGGTAATAACTTGCAAAAACAAAAACAAACAAATCTAACAGGGGGGTGCTCAAGGAGGGCTTCCTGCTCTAATGGCTTCCAGTGTGCTGGGCCCCTGTCCTGCTCCCAGCTGGCAGGTGTCTCTCAGCCTGCAACCCTGCATATAGTATCTCAGCCAACTCTAGCTCAGCCCCAGGACTCTGTGCAGGGAGCTTCGCCAGATCTCTTCTAGAGGGTCTCCAAGGTCTGCTTTTTTCTTCTGATGAGGACATCCCTGAACACAGGATAGACTATGGCTCTATCTTTGCCCCTCCAGGGCACATTCCTGGCAGAAGACAGTCACTCAGTGACAGCCAAACATCAGACAGGCAGTTGTCCTAGACCTGAGTTGGTAAATAAGGGGTGTGGGGCACAGTTACCTAGGAGCACTTGTTTGATGTATTTTCTACCCTCTCCTATACCCTGCCTCCATCGCACTGAGCCCCTGCCTGGAAGATTCCTGAGGCCCTTGTGATGCTAAGATTCTGAGATTCAATATGGCCCTATGTTGTTCTTTGTCCAGTCCATCTGCAGTACCCCAGCCCTGTGACTCCTCTATGTCCCACAACAGCCTCTCATCAGGGTCCACACAGGTCCCCAGGACATTCACAGTCATGGAGGCGTCCACTTGGTGTCAAAAGGAGTGGCCTCGGCTTTTCTGCCAGACAAGACACTGAGCACACAGTAGGATAACAGCTTCAGAGGTTAGAGCAAGCAGTCAGGGTAGACAAGCAGAAGGAAAAAGAAAAAGAAAGCTTGGTCCTTCCTTCTTTCAGCCAAGACAGCACACTTTTATTGAGCACCTAATGAACGAAGCTGCCACAAGAGCAGAGAGACAATGGAGCAGTGGCCAGGCCTCTCTGCCATCTCTGTGTCTTTGGCAATGGAGTTCTGTCAGGGGAATCCGGGTGTGCCGCTCACCCTGACTAGGGGCTCCACATGGCCTGGCTGCTCCCAGGCTCTGCCTTTGTGGGCACCTGTAAGGAGCATCTTCACACCTTTGGGATGAACTCGGACCTATTTTTGCAAGCTTTTGTGGTTTCTCCCTTTAAATATGATTCCACAGATTGCAGTGGCAGAAGTAGTTGGTCTTCAGATTATCTTGGACAAACATGACTGCTGTAAACTCTTGCATAGTTTTGCAAATTCTTTCTCATTCATTCCTGAAATTCTCCATCAGTACACAAACACAAATTGCTCAGTATCTGGCCCCAGGGAATTCAAAGCCCTTTCTCTCCAAACAGACATTTCTCCTTATCATTCTCCCTGAGGAGACTTGCTGAGGGTTGTCCCCTGCCCACTATAGGAGAGGAATGTAAGCCCAGAGAGGGCAAGAGGCACACAGGTGTCCAGAGGACAGTGGGGATGGGGGCTGAACACTGCCTGTGGGAGCTGCTGCGGGGCATCCACAGGGGGGCAGTGCCCCTACCATCCATGTGAACCACCCCCTCAATGTGATTGATTTGTGGTTTTTTGCAGCAAGCTTCTCATAAGGATTCCTTTGAGTCTTGCTGATGCAGACTGATTTCTGCAGTGAGAAGATGGTCTTCTTCCCGATCTCACCTTGGCACCAAGGCACCAGATTGTGTTAAGCTCATGGAGTAATGGCAGAGGCTTGGAGGCTGGGCATGCTGTGGACGAATGGCTGGGAGCAGGGCATGTCCCATACCTGCTGGCAGTCTCTACTTTTCCCAACAGAGTTCGAGCAAGGCAGCATGACATAAGGGCACAGGAATTTCATGGTTCATGTGAAAGATGAAGACGGGGCTTGTGGCCCTGCAGGGGCTCTGAGAGAGACACTGAGGAAGTAGTTGAAGCCCGTGTCGCAGGTGCTGTGTCAGGTACTGTTCTGAGCAGGACAGGTATGTTGCGGACAAGGCTGGCCATGCAGATCCCATCTGGTGCCCTGGGTCTGCTCCCTGTGAGTGCTTGCCCTGAGGCTGAGAGCTAGGGCTGTGAGACTCACAGTACTTGGGCTTCAGATAGGCAGGAGAACAGGCACTAGATTGCTCAAGCAGTGGCTGTCATCAGTGTGACCAGCTAGAGCCCGGCCACTGGAGCTCAGGTGTACCTGTTACTGCTGGGGCCTTCAGAGAGGCAGGGGCTGACTACTCGCCCCCTACCAGCTGCTCCAGGCGCTGCAGCATCGTCAGACGCAGGGCTTGGAACCTGGAGGGAGACACCACCAAGGGGAATCACTGAGCTGAACAGGACAGAGAGGTGGGGAGCAGAGCGAGGGCTGCACAGATGTCTGGTCCAGGACACCCCTGCTCCCAGCAGGCTGATGGCAGCCACCGCCTCTCCTCTGCCAAGGAGGAAGGCCCTGGCCTGCATCCTAAGAGACCAGTTGAACAGGGCTGTGGACCATGAGGAACTTCAAAGCGGAAAGTTGCCAGTTCTATTCCAAAGACTTTCTAATGTGGACAAGAGCACACGAGGGTGGACAGGGTATCAGGGCAGGGACTGGGAACCTCGCGTTCCAGCTCGGACTTTGCAATCACCTGTGCTGCAGCCCTCCTCACCTGGGCCTCAGTTTCTTCTCTGAGTACTGAACAGAGGACCAGTTGGGCCCAGGTCCCTCCCAGTTCTCAAGTCCTACAGTGACATGACAGACTGCACAGAAGATGGTTCCGTCTGAGTGTGGTCTCTGCTGAGTCCCCCCTGGGGCCTGACTGTACAGATGGGAGCCTGTGGGGGTGTGGCTTTCCAGGGTCATTCAGACAGAAGCCAAACTCCAAACCTGTCCCCTGCCCCCAGGCCCTCCCCGTGAGCAGCCTGCCCTTCCCTTCCTAAGCTGACCTCCTTTGGGGTCCTGGCTGAATGCCCTCCACATGTCCCACTCCATGTTTCATCTTGCTGAGGGACAGACATCATTGGGACCTACAGCCTGATAACTTCACACAGCCCAGCCCTAACCTAGCTCCTCCAGAAGCCAGCAGGTACAGCTCACCTTTTCATTGACCTAGTTACCTGCACCTGAAAAACATCAGCTGGTGCTGGGAATTCCAACAACTGCCACTTTGGGGCAGGCTCAGAATCCTGCTGATATGATAGGCCCAGACCTGAGTGAGTCCGCCAGGCCGTGCCCTCTCCTCAACTCCCTCTCTAGGAAAGCCTGATCCAGTGCCCACCTGCGCTCCTGCCTAGGACTCTTCTGCCTGGGTTTGCAGTTTGTATTTTGTGCTGGTGAGGATGCCAAGGCTGGATGGTTGGTTGGGGCCAAATCCCTGCCATTTTGGCACCGCAGGTAGGTGGCAACAGTGAGCAGGGGGCCAGAGAGTAATATTAGGGAGCCAGGATTAGCAGGCCTCCCCAAACTGCCAGGGTACCCGGTATACACGGAGGACAGGACCCTCCCGACCTGGCGCTGCTGGTCTTGTGCCTCGCAGACTTGCCCTGATGTTCAGGACCCACAACTGACTTTTTAAGTGCTGCTTACTTCATGGTCAGTTTGATTATTTCTCTTTCCTCCTCTTCTTTTAATTTTTCAACAAAACTGTCCAGCACCGGCATTTCAAATTTAATGTACTGAGCGACCTAGAAAATCCAAGAACATTTTAAGGTGCTTTAAATTAGAAGCCAAAATGTGCTTTCTTTTCCTTAAGGCTTCCACGGTGGCCCATCTAGTCAACGTCTAGTATCCACGGAAGTAACTGCCCTTTTCCCACCCTGCCCCCAACACTGCTCAGTTGTGTGTGAGGACAGGAGTCCATTCTTATCTCAAAGGCAACTGTGATCCCTGGGAGGAAATATTAAGCTGAATATTAGGAAAAACATTTAATATTGCAGCATTGTCACACTGGGTGTTCTCTGGGGTGGGGTATGGAATGGTGGTGGGACACCATTGTTTCTGACAATGGAATGACCTGGGACCAGCATTGTGAACAGCCTGAGGAATACAGAGCCACCAGCCCTTCTCCTTGGGGTGCAAACCCTGTGAGCTGCTTCTATACAGAGGCGTTTGGAAATGCACTCACTGCCTGGCCAAGACTCAGGCTATCACGGGGTCAGTTAGAGGTAGACAACTCCCTCCTTTCCATAGGCCCTAGTTGACCCCTAGTTAAGGACCCCTTGCTTGGGTCTTTAACCTAATAACAACAAAATACACTCCAATGAAGGAAAGGGTTAACTTGCTGGAGGGGAAAAGGGCAGGGCCATGTTTCTTCTTTCCCCTAAGCCTATGGAGCTGGTGGCCACTGATGGGATAAGGGGCTAGAGCCACCACTATACTGAGCTTGAGGTCCCTATAGATAGCTGTAGAGCCCCTGGGCCATGGCCCAAGAGGGCTGTAGGCATGGTCACCTTCAGAGCCCTGGGAGTCCCCTACTGCCTCCCCAGCCTAGCCCACCACTCACTTCATGGGGCACTTCCACGCCCAAGTCGGCTTCCATCAGGAATATCTTGGCAATCTTCTCACATGGCCCATGTAGGATTCTAGAAATTAGCGGGTACTCACAGTCTTTTAATTTTGTCCTCTCTGCAAGAGAAGGCAGTTTACAAAATTCTTGGTACCTTAGGATTGCCTCTCTTTGTTCTGAAACAGGAACTGATAGAAGATGTGCGTCCAGGGTCCTGGGGAGCCCTCTCTAGACCTCAGTGAGGATGCTGCCCTGAGACACGTGTGATCATGATGACCAGGTGCAGAACATGCTGCCCCCAAATCCTCTACTCTGGCATAAGGATTATGTTGAGCTGAAGGCAACTGAGAAGGTGCAGATATAAGAAAAGCTCTCTGTCCTCCCTATTTGCCTAAAAGCAGGATGTATATTTGTCACAGTGACACTCCTGCCCTCTCTACCAGGAAGCACAGAGTAATTACCAGAGACAACCCTGGAGCCTTATCAGCCTGAGAGGCAGGAGAGGAATCCACATAGCAAATCTTGCTAAAGCCAGCTTCACCTTCCATTAGTTCCCCATAGAGTGACCTCACTGTTTGCCTCCCCAGAAACTCCAAACCCTTTTCCTTTGTTTTGTCACCTCTCTCAAAACTTATTGTTCTTTTGTTAAAGTTCTACATAAGCCCCAGTTCTCACCACCTATTGGAGTTACTTACCCCTCCCTGCGTGTTCCCATGGGTTTGTAAGCTACAATGTTAACAAACTTCTGATTGTGTTTCTCTTATAAATCTGCCTTCTATTAATCTAATTACAGGGCTGTCCAATGAACTAAAACAATGGTTCTCAACTTTCCTAATGCCATGACCCTTTAATACAGTTCCTCATGTCCTGGTGACCCCCAACTATAAAACTACTTTCATTGCTACTTCATAACTGTAATTTTGCCACTGTTATGGATTGTAATGTAAATATCTGATATGCAGGATGTATTTAGGCAACCCCTGTGAAAGGGTCGTTCAACCCTCAAAGGGGTCGTGACCCACAAGTTGAGAACCCCTGAACTAAAGGAAAAAGATTTTCCTCCTTCCCTATAGTGTCAATTCAGCAAAGGCCCAGCTGGAAGAGAGAGGGGCATCTGGGATTTGAGGGGCTGGGATAGAGGGGACTGACCACGCGGTGACCAGCCCGCGTGGGAGGAGCCCGCAGGAGGGAGCAGTGGGTTCTGCAGCAGCAGCCTGACAGGCCCCTACTCCTCCTAACTGAACAACAACAGCTAGAGGTCCACTGGGGAGAGCAGCTTCCCATACACTTGGGTGGGATTCTGAGAGAGAGGCCAGTGTGTGTAGGGGAGAAACATTCATGAAAAGAGGCACAGCATGTCCCAAGGTGAGGAGGGCCAGCTGCTCTGCTCTGAGTCCCCCAGCCAGGCCAGCCTGGGCCCCTCAGGGAAGGAGGAGCTAATCAGTGGGTTTGCTGAATGGGCAGAGGCTTGTGTGCTTTTATGACTCAGAATTAGAGGCGGACACTTACCCCCAGACTCATGAACGATGTAGAGGGCAAACTCGCTGGGCCCATCTTCCACCTGCACAGGCAGTCACAGAAATCAGACAAGGATGTTTTGATGTGTAAGAGGGTCCTCTGGCAGTAACCACATCCCCAGTGCCTCACACACAGTCCTCAAGGATCTTCCCCTCTCTCTGCTTAGAATCCCAGCTCTGCAGAGGAAACCTTGCTAGAACTGCCCAGGAGCTACTGGCGGCTTTCCCCAGCCTTTTCAGCCCTCTTCCTCCAATAAAACAGCAAAGCACCAGTGTCCCACAAAGCACAAAGCTACTCATGGCCCGACTTACCCTGAACTTGTTCAGCAGCAGGGTGACCACATGAAGGGTTGTCATGGTGCTGTTGACCCTTACATTGGTCACGGACCCGTAGGCTGGAGTGAACACGGAGGTCTGTGCCAGGAAGAGGGGCAGTTCAGGGCAGACCCAGAGGGGACATGGGGCTAACCTCACTGTGCTGGGCTGACCCAAGTAGGGGAACCGGGGTTCTGGGAACACTGTGCCTGTCCATTCACTCAGATGCACCTAGGAGCTGTTCCCAGACCTAGGGGGTGCCAGGGAAGCTGTGACAGTGCCTGTCCTCCAGAGGCCCCAAAGCAGATGCCTACACACGGGTGAGGGCCCACCCTCCAGATCTGAGGAAGGGGGACCACGGAGGTAGCTCACAAGGGGTGGGGGAAGCAGTCTTTCCCTCACTCTTCCCATTGACCGAGTCACCGAGTATCTCTGGATTCTGAGGCTGAAAGTTTCCCCGTCTGTCTCCTTCTCTCCATTCCTGTGTCGTGCGTACCTCTTCAGCCTCCCAACTTGTTCCCTTCTGATCGCACCCTATCCAATCCATTCTCCATACTGCTGTCCAGCGGCACAACCTTCCAAAAGCCTTGCAAATCCAAGTGTGGTCTGGGTCAGCTGCATCGACATAACAGCCTCAGCACCCCCCTCCCCCAGCCCCGCAGGCCTTGTAAAGCAGAAGCTGTCTCTGTAGAACGCCAGGCCCACAATCTGTGCAGCACAGAGTGAGAAGTGCTGTCTGAGCACAGTTCGAAAAATACCTGCAGGCTCCCTGTGGCCTACGCAATACAACCAGCAGCCCCTCTCCTTGTCACACACGTATGACACCATGAGCCTCTTATAAGCACCTCGTGTGTGCTCCAGCCACACCGCTTCTTTACAGTTTGGGGGGAGGGCATTATGTTCTTGTGGGTATCTTGCCTTTGCCTATGAGACATTGTATATGAAATCAGCCGGGACACTGATGCATCATAATAGGTCCTCATTGAACACTAGCCACGCTTTGAGCCTGCTAAGCACATTGCACACAATCTTTGATTTAATTCACACAACAGCCCTTTGGCATACCTATAACTAGGTACTTTCCTTCTTAGAAAGGAATCAAGGGCTTGGGGAGATTAAGCAACTTGCTCACTATGTCACCTATCATGAGAGACCAGAGCCACAACTGAATGGACTCTGAGATGCCTGACACTCCACAAGTTGCTGGTGACTCCCAGCAAATAGGATTCCTCTGTAGGTGAACTTCTCCGTGCTTTCCAGAACCAGCTTCAAATGTGCATATTCTACCTCTATGGTCCTACCTCTGTTTTCCCAAGGAAGTCACTGCATTTCAGGATGCTTAAGGGACATTCTCAGTGACCCCAGCTGGTCCCTCTGGCACATAGAGGCATACCTGGAGGATATTTTGAGTTCAATTTCAGACTGAAACTGAACTCGAAATATCCAGGATATAGTTTGCTTCTTCAGTGCCAAGAAGCCGAATATCATAATAAAGTGAGTCACATAAAGTTTTTGATTTCTCAGGGCTTAGGAAAGTTATATTTACCTCACATAGTAGTCTAAGAGTGCAATAGCATTATGTCTAAATATGGACATAATTAAATTAAAAATACCTTATTACTAAAAAATACCACACAGAGACATGAAATTAGCACATGCTGATAGACTTGTGTGGTGCAGGGTTGCCACAAACTGTCAAGTTGTAAGAAGCACGATATTTGCAAAGCACAATATAGAGAAGTCCCACTCGACGAGGACTGCCTTATCAGAGTCAGACGCAAACCTAGACTTCTCCCCATCTCAGTTCCAGCTGAGACACAGAATGACCTTGGGTTTGGGAAAGCCAGAATTAGATCTTCAGTTTCCAAGAAATGTATAATAGAGGAGTCAGGCTATATCAAAGAGACAAAAGGTCTGGTCAACAAGACATCGCTAGTGTTCTTTGCATGAAGCCCTTTCTCGAGATGATACTAACCAACTCCAAGTAGGAACAAAGGTCCCGTGGCTGCTTTCTCATCTCTAACCATAAGTGGTTGTCTCTAATGGAACACACTTGAATCCAAGGGGGCAGGGCAGAGCAGTGGGAACAGATATAAAGTTAAACCCAGTCTGGAAATAAAAGCAATATTACTGAGCCTCTGAACAGTTTTGGAACATGAGTGACTGAAGCAATACTGCATAGTTCTAAGAAACGAAAGCTGGAACAACTACTCCAGGAAACAATGCTGGGAATTACTTACTTTTTAATTATTGTCTGTGACTCAGGGAATTTATACCCCAATTTCTAAGAATACCAATTCTATGAGAAAGAAGAGAGCCCCTTACCCAGGAGATATGAACCAACTGTCCAGCACACCTAAGATACTATTCCATGTCCCAGAAAATAGTACTTTGCAGGAAAGAATGGAGCCACATTCTGCATTTGTGACTGGAAGGAAAAGCCACCCTGACTGGGCCACTTGCTGAGGTCAGGGGTCTGGCAGGCTGAGTAGCTCTTCTTGGCAGGGTGGATCGGATGGAAGGGAAAGGCTATCATGTTCATTCCTGTTCCATTTGAAGGTCACACAGTGCTTGAGACTTTGTGTCCCAGTGACATTCGCAATGACCACAATAAAGTTTAATGTGCCAGACGTACGTCTTAGAGATGAATGCGACCTTTAGAGGAGAGGTGGCTATACCAAAGCTAAACCCACTATTCTGTGCCTTGAACCATGGAGCAAAATACTGCTTTTCTGGGGAACGTAGACCTGGGAAGAACCTAAACCCTTGCACATGTTTTCTGTAAGTTTTTGAAGGATTCCCTAAAACAGCATATCAGTATCTATGCAAATACTAACAAGTGGTGTTTAAAGATGAAATCCCTTTTGGAACAAGATGTAAAGTCATGTTTTGGGTTCTTGGCTAATCAACATCATTCTTAATCTCCCTTTATCTCCGTTTAACTTCAATCCTGCCTCCCCCTTCACTCTCAGGAAACTCTTTGGAATCGTTCTGGGTTTGCCCGGATTTAGACAAGGCAACCTATTGGTTGTTCACCTGCAAACCTCCCTAAGTCCAGGGTACCCCAAGGGCAACTTGAGTGGCCCCGGGAAGGCCTGACCTGAACTCCTTGCACTGTCAGATCTGACCCCAAGGTTTCCCTTCGCCCAGGTCTCTGTCCCCTGGGTCAGCCTCTATCAAGGAGTGCAGCTGCTTCAACTGGAAACCTTTGCTTTCATTTCCCAGGGAGGGAGGCAGGATATAGCCTGTCCCAGGACACCCCCTCCAGGGCCTTGCCAGACTGCCACTCACTCCATTTATAGCAACTATCAAGTGCTCCTTTTACAGTTCAGTTTGTTTACAGAGTGATGTAATCTGGGGAGGGCGATCTCTCTTCCTGAGGTCAGTACAATGCCTCCTTGGACAAAGGCAGAGTGCTGAGAATCAGGAACCGTCCAGGTTCTCTGGGACGCACACAAGTGTCCCGGGTCCACTGCAGCCTAGCCTAACAGCGAGGGCCACTGTGTTCCCACAGAACAGCCCATGGAGCTGGGGTGGAAGCCACACAGAGAACGGCCTCATTAAAGGGAAACTCAGCATTACCATCTGCCTCAGGCACCCACAGCTTCCTTGCCCCCAAATTCATTCTACTGTGCAAATGGACAGCCAGTGAGTGCAGAGTTCATGGTGGAAACAAAATGGGTCATGAGGGGGGAACGCCACATGGACAGTCATTTCTCCTGCTGTGAACACAGGGATGACAACAGCCTTCTTCCACATCTCATGTGACTATTACGCTGAGGGCTGGCTCCCCCGTGCACCCTGCCTCAGGGCCCAGAGGAGAGGTCAGGCTGACACGTCACCTTGTGATTGTAAAAGTGCCCGTTGATGGAGAACCGGTGTCTCCGGATGCGCTGGGCCTCGCCGGGCCCACGGCACTTGGGCCGCCTCTGGATTGAGCAGCTGGCGTCGCTCTTGGTGCGCATCAGCTGTGGGGTCTCCTCGTCCTCCTCCAGGGGCTCTGCAGGGAGAAACGTGCGAGGGCTGGAGGGTGCAAGGGTGTTGTCTGTGGGGTCTGGCTCCCTCAAGCCTTGAGGTCACAGGGTGCTGGAGAAGACGGTGACCTGAGTGCTGTTTCTAGAGCTGGGATGATTCCCATCTGCAGACAGGAAGGGGCCCCTAGACAAGGTGACCCAGGCCCTGACCTTACACTGCCTTATACCTCTTGGTCTCTGTCTGGGGGTACCCAGGGAGGTCCTTGGTGGTCCCAGCCCAGTCCTTTGCATGTCCACACTGGACCAGGGCCTTCCCTGAGTACAAAGGAAGGGGCAGGCAGAGGGTAGGTGAGCAGTCACTGATTTCAGATGCCCTGGAGGCCTGGGGGTGGGTGGGAGGGCACCATGCTGACGCTCCACCTGTCTATAGAATGGCACAGGGAAGGGAATTTGGGCCACTGACAAACTACATCACCCTGCAAGCCTCTGCTTTTTTCCCCCATAAATAGGAGCAAATGAGAGTAGTAGAGAGCTCATAGATGGGTCCCTGGGTAGGTCTTTAGCCAGAGCAGCTCTTGGACACACAGGAAGCCACTAGTTCCCAGAGCACAGAGCTATTCTCTGGAGACATGGTCGTGAGCCAAACCCCTCCTTTCTCACCCTGATGAGACAAGATCCAGGGCAGCTCACAGACTCACCTGAGCTATCTCTGGAACTCTTGGCCTTGTCTACTGGCTGAGTGCCTGGCTCCTGGGCAGTGACCCTGCCATCCTGGGGAGGTGGCTCCTTTCTGAAAAGACACATTTGTGGTCAGATGACTGTGGGCAGAAAAAGGGAATTCAGGTTCAAGAGAGGAGACCAGTGGCTTCTGGGGATAGGACACAGGTAGGAAGCAGGGCAGGCCAATTTGAAGCCTGGATTTCACGCTGAAAGAGTCAATTTAAATAAAATAAAAGAAAAGCAAAGGCCTCCCATGGTGTGCACTGGAGGAAGAGTGAGTCTGGCCCTGCAAACCAGAGTGACCTATGCTGGGCTGTGTCCATGAACACATGGACACATGCACATACCCGGGGCCCTGCGTTCCTGTAACACACTTGGCCAGCACATGTGAAGCCTCAAGCCTCATGGGTAGCTGGGTTTCCAGAGGGTCTGGTTGGGCATTGAGCAGGGGCATCCTCCAAGGGGCAAATCTCTGGGCTTCTTGATCCCAAACCAAAGCAGCTGGTGCCAGGCTGGGGAAGGAATGGATGTGATGGGATGTGGCCCCATAGTCAGGGAAGTCAGAAAGCACAGACACAAGGGTGATTCTGGGGACCCTATGTGGCAGAGCCTGCACCTACTATCTGTGACTGCTGCTACCTTGAGGAAGGAGAAGTGTGTGTCACACTGGCAGCCCTTCTAGGGAGTCTGAAATTATACTCTAAGTATGAGTATCTCAAAATTAGCTGTGAGTGACCAGGGACCTGGGGATGTGCAGGCATTAGCATGCTGAGTGCTGTAACAGCATCTGTTTTACTTGAATATTTGAAGGACGTAGGCTGGGTGCAATTGCTCACACCTATAATCCTACCACTCTGGGAGGCCTAGGTGGGTGGATCGCCTTAGCTTAGGAGTTTGAGATCAGCAAGAGTGAGACCCCCGTCTCTACTAGAAATAAAAAAGCTAGGGCATTGCCTGTGGCTCAAAGGGGTAGGGCGCTGGCCCCATATGCCGAGGTGGCAGGTTCAAACCCAGCCCCGGGTAAAAACTGCAAAAAAAAAAAAATTTGTGGTGGGCACCTGTTGTCCCAGCTACTTAGAAGGCTGAAGCAAGAGGGTCTCTTGAGCCCAAGAGACTGAGGTTGCTGTGATCTCTGATGACACCTTGGCACTCTAACCAGGGTGACAGAATAAGACTTTGGAGGCAAAGCCCTGAACATTTGCCTTGATGACATTACCACATGCAGGAGCAAGCAAAGCTCAGCCACTAACTGCCATCTCGGGGATGGTGAGGGGAGGAGGGAAACGCCCACTAAACAGTAAGAAGGTAGGAAACCATTTCCTCCTGCTGAGGACATCCTTCTGATAATAAACACATCTGATCTGAAATTCCGATAATTTGTAAAAATAAATTTGGATATTAAATAAAAGCAGAGTATCAGGAAGCTAAATGTGTGTGAATTTTTAAGATAGAACAGGAGACGCTGTGACGTGCATGGGTGTTGGAGCCCACCCCTCCCTGCGACTGCAGCCTGCTTTTCTTGCCAACAAGGTGGTTCATGTGTGAATGTTTGAGGAACATGAGTGGAGGCTGTGGGAGCCCAAAACATCCTCCAGGAGGGATTGAGGGAGGCAATGTGGTTGTGGGCCAGGAAAGCCACCTTGGGTGAGGCTACATACAGGACAGGGGCTGGGTTGGCTCATGCTCCCATGAGAGTCCCATGCAGGATCAGGGCCTATAGGCAGAGGATATTGCTCACACTCTATGAGTAGAGCTCAGGTTGAACAGGTGTCACAGAAGCCAGTTGGCCTGGCTGTGCACTCACATGTGGCAACTGGGCCCTCCGGGCTCCCACGAAGCTGAGGGGAGGTGTACTCGCTCCCGGTCATCCTGCACCTGCAGCCGGATGGGCCTCCTGAGTCCCCAGGCAATGCTGAGCAGCCCCTCGATGATCAGAGCCCCTTCTTCCTGTGGGGGTGCACAGAGGTCAGCCTCCTCCTCTGGGACAGCTACTCTCAGGGATCACTGCCCCTCCTCTCCTGGGAAAGGGCCACCAGCCTCTACTTGTGCTGGGGGGTGAGGCCCAGCCCTGAGGGAGAAAGCCTGAGGCGTGCCTTCCGCTACTTGGCCCACGCCTGGTCAGGGGCACGTCCAGGGACAGAGCAGCTGAGTCAGGTGTCCCACAGGAACCCAGATGCTGTCCAGCAGGCACGTCCACTCCTTGGACAAGGAAGCAGTTCCATGGAAGCACGGCCCAGCTACTTGTGCCAAGCAGGGAGCCTCTCTGCCTACACTGCATCTGGGCAGGGTGTCCAGAGGTGGCCGCTCCTCGAGCTGGGTCTCAGCCCCACCCTTCTGTGTGCAGCAGAAGTGCCCACTCTCCCGGGCTGAGCCCACCCCTAGATTTCCAAGCTGGATTCCTCTTTCTGCCGGCTAGTCTTGCTTTTCTCACCATCACTGGGTCACCACTAACCCTACATCCAACCCCCGGAATTCTGACAACCCTCATCCCATGTCTCCAGCCAGCCTCAGTTTCCTTAGGTCTGCAGATGGCACAGCTCCCCTCCTGCCACCCGAGGTCCTAATCAACAGAGTTCTCTGCAGGATCTCGGGTGGATCTGGCTTGCATCCTTTGGGTCCTTGATTCTGTGTCTCTGACCTATTCCAGGTCCCCATTTCTGTGTGACCGCTCTAGCCTCCTGGAGCCCATCCTGACTGCCCCCCTCATGAGTGTGGCCAGCTGCATGGTTGGCACCCTTAGCACACCTGCCAGAAGCCTTCTCGACTTCCCTCTCCCCAGAGCCACAGCGCTGCCCGCTCCAAGCTCCCAGTAATGAACTTTAAACATCATTCTCCCATCACTATCTCAACCAACATTTTACTGTTTATTTATTTTTCACTGTGTTAAGAATGTGTGACGCGAGACACCCTCAAAACAAATTTTTAAGTGCACAACACAGTGTTGTTCGCTGAAGGCACAGTGCGGTCCCACAGTCTCTTGTGTAAAAGAAACTTTAGACCCTTTGAACAGCAGCTGTCCATTCCCCTCCCCCAGCCCCTGGAAACCACCATCCCAGCCTGTGCTCACGTGAGTGTTAGTTTAGATTCCTCAGACAAGTGGAACCATGCAGTATTTCTGATGAACATTTTAGATTCACACATTTCATTTTTCTCTCTCCTTGTTGGCACCAGAGGACTGGTGAGAGTTGGGAGGGACCCCACAGAAACTTCCTCATCTCCCCGGCAGCACTCACAAAGGAGTTCAGCACAGTGTGGATTACAGAGTTACTTAGCAATAGTTTCTAGTTTTAAATATTCTGCTATCCATGGAGAAAATTATTGTAATATCATCAAAAATACACAAATAGCTTTCTGAGATGACCTTGCACTACTTGCTAAAAAGAAGAAAACAAGAAGAAGCGAGAGCTATTTTTGACGTCCACTGATGTTCCCCAGGCGCAGATGTGTAACTAAGCCCGTAAAGGACAGGCTAGCGTGGGTCTATGGAGTTAAAGGTCAGTTAGGAGACTAAGAAGACCCCAAGTGGCGTTCAGTTCTTCTGCCTTGGCCTCAGGAGAGAGTCCTGCTCCTCCTGGAACATCTCCGCATGTAGGGATGGCTCATTCATTCAGGGAGACGCACTGCCCTCCAGGCCCACCCTGGACCCTGGGTACAGGGAGGTAAGGCGGACGCAGCCTGGCCACAGGGAGGCGAGGCCCGGCCCTGTGGGAGGAGGAAAGTACTGTGTGGCAGGTCAGGGGTGATGGTTGCAGGTGGACAGACAGGAGGTGTGAGCAAGTGGTCCCGACAGTGGGACCTGCCTGACAAAGGCCACGGCAGGAAAACAGCAGGCAGATCAGTCTGAAGAAAGCCCAGGAGCACTGAAAAAGCCAGGCTGTTGGCACCTTGGCAAGTGCTCACTGCTACTCAAGACCAGAAGAGACCTCCTCAGAGGGGAGAGTGAGTGAGGTTAACCGTCCTCTGTGTGAGGGGCAGGCCAGAGGAAGGCAGAGGAGGAGTGCCATCTCACTCCAGGGCAAGAGAGGGGGCACAGCTGGGGGCAGGGGCAGTGGGCTGGACACGCCAAGACCTGGCCTTCAGAGTCTCCAGAGGAAGACTCTGGGGACCTTTTGGTGAAGGTGGAGACAGAAATACTGAGGCAGAGAGAGGGGCTGCCTCCGAGGTCAGGGGACCGATTGTGTTGGAGATGGGCTGACTTAATGTGACTCAGGCTGGGTGTCCCTGCACAGTCTGTGTGTGTGTCCCCAACATGCACTGTACCACCTTGTGCATGCCCAGCAATGTCCTCTATGCCCCTCCGAGGACCCAGTGTCCATCCTGAGGCTGACTGACCCTCCCCTTACATGGGGTAGTCATACAGGCCCCTTGCTCAATCTACCTGGACTGCGCACTCGCCCATTTTTCAGATCTCTGCTCCAATGTCCCTTCTTAGCGAAGACACGCCTGACCACTCTACCTACAGCAGAAGCCTGTCACCCTGTCCCACTGTGTGGCTGTACTTTTCTTTGCAATTGTCATCAGCACCCATCCATTGATGGTTCAACCCTCTCCCTCACTAGAACATGAGCTCCTGCATCCACACCTTTGGTTATTGGTGGGCTTGCTGTGCTTAGAACAGTCACTGGCACACAGTAGCACTATCTGGTGACCAAGAAAGCCAATTTTTCTTTCAAAGCACCACACCTGGGGAGAGGGTCGCAAGACCAGGACCAGACCCCATGACTGCCCTTGGTCCCTGTCAGAGATGGGCATGCCTTGTCTTTGAGCAGGCCTAGGGAGCCCAGCTTCAGCCACTTCCAGGTTGGGGCCCTGTACGGCTGATGTCTCCTCAAGGTGACTTCCCTCATGGACAAAGCATGACGTTTGCAAGAATCAGCAAAAGGCCAGAGTGTCCTAGGGTAGTGAGGAGCTGATGTGATAGCGGTGGGAATGCTTCCAGGCAGTGTGGCAGACCCCAGGAGTCCAGTGAAGCCCCCTGCCTCTCCCAAGACCCTGAGGTGACCAGGAGTGCCCGCCCTCCCCCACCCTCCCCTACTGTGCAGCATAAACATTTCCGAGCCTCCCACAGGCACAAACACACGTTTCAGGCTGGCAGCTGGGCCAAGTCCCGCCCGCCAATCTGTTTTCCTCAGAGAGCCTTCCTGAATACTGCTATTTTTAGCCCTTGTGACAATAATTGATGGCTGGTGGAAAGGTATAAAAGCAGCGGCGAGGCCTCGAGGTTTGCCAGACAGATTAGGGAAGGGCCTTCCACTGTGAACAGCGGCCCTCGGCACAGCGTCCTTGCTGTCCTCTTCCCAGTGATCCCACACCGGACACCAGGCTCTGGCTGCCAGACCTCCGACCCTTCTTCTGAGAGCTTCCCAGGGGCTTCCTTTGGACTGAACCATCCTTGCCTGTCCAGCCTCCTGGCCACCCCCAGACCCCCTCATCTACAGGTAAGAGGAACAACTGCCTCTGGTTTGAGAAAAAACAAGGGCTTTATCTTTTTTTTGGAGATAGAGTCTCCCTTTGTTGCCCTTGGTAGAATGCTATGGCATCAGAGCTCACAGCAACCTCAAACTCTTGGGCTCAAGTGACAGGGCTTTATCTTTGAGGGCAATTTTCAGCCTGGAGTTGTACAGCCTCACCAGGGCAGATCAGGCCGATGTGCTCTGCAGAGGGCTTTGCATTTACAAGGGGTTGAGGTGTTATTCCAAGTGTTATTTCCCCAGCCAGGCAGGTGTTTACAACCCTGTGTTATGGATGGGGCTGCAGGGCCTTGGACAGGTGGCCTTGCCAAGGGTGCCAGGGTCAGTACGTGGCAGATCCTGGTTTTAAACCCAGGTTCCCTCTGACCCTGTGTTTGTTAGGTTGGGTTCTCTTATTTGTGCAAACTCTGAAACAACAGTAATAATAAAGTCTTAAGCCCATGAGTTTTTAATGTTATTAGGAAGGAAGAGCCTGGGAGTCCGAGCCCTGGTCTTGGCTCAGTAGACTCCAAACTACTTTTAGGTCAGCCCCAGATGAGTGAGGTGACACTGTGGGGAGAGTCAGGAGGGCACAGCAGGCTCTCACCCCTGTCCTCTGTTGACCAGCAGGTCTCTGTGTCTACTCGCCAGCAGTGATGAGGTCCCGGCTTCTGCTTTCTGTGCCCCACCTGCCCACAATTCGGGAGACCACAGAGGAGATGCTGCCTGGTGGGCCTGGGCTGGAGTCTCCAGCCTCCCCCACCCTGGATGACTATGTGAGGTCCATCTGTCAGCTGGCACAGCCTACATCTGTGCTAGATGAGGCCACAGTCCTGGGCAGACCCAGGACACCCCACCAGCCAGGCCGGGCTCTTGAGAAGAGCTGCCTTGCCATATCCCTACAGGACATCACTGCCCGTTTCAGTGGCCAGCAGCCCACACTGCCAGAAGCTGACACTGTTGACCCCCTGGACCAGCTTTTTGGGGAGTCCCAGGAAGAGTGGTCAAGTCGGAGGAACCTGTCGAGGAGGACCAGGCCCTGTGCTGGCTCCTGGGGTCTTCACGGACAGATGGACAGTGGCAAGGCCAGGGGGGCCCCCAGAGGGAGGCTCTGTGAAGCCAGGGCACCTGGGCACTCTCTGGCACGACCACGACGGGACTCACACTCAAGCTCCAACCTAATGAGTCAGACTTCTGGTCAGCCTGGCCAGGCCGTGGCCTCTCGACACAACCCCCGCCCCAGCAGTGCCCTCAGAACTCTCTATTCTCTACTCCCGGTGATCCACGAACTCTGAACCCTCCCCAATAAAGAACCCCCGTAAAGAGCACGCGGGGTTCGCATCTACTTCCCCTCCCTCCATGGTGGACACTGTACCGAGTGGGTCTATAGAGGGCTTTGTATTTTAAAGAAATTGAGGTGTTTCCCACCCCAACCCTGCCAGGCAGGTGTTTATAACCGTGTTATGGATGGGAAACACTTTTGTGGGAGGGAAACACTTTTGTGGAAGGGAAACACTTTTCTGTATGGGCTGCCTGCTTTGATAATTCACAGTGACACCCTCCCCCCATCCCCCACACAGAACACTATGAATAGTGAAACAGTGTGTCTCACGGGAGATGTTACTGTCTCATTTCTCTGTTCTTCACTGGCTGTTCACTTTGAATAAGGTTCTTAACATCTCTGTTCCTCAGTTTTCTCATGGGTAAAGTGGTGCTAATTGCTGGGACCTGCCCCAGGCCATCTTGATGAGCAAATGCCTGCTCACAGCACATACAGGGAATTGCTACTGGTATTATTTACAGGTGAGAAGAGCAAGGGTAAGGGTGTGGTGGTATTGGGGGGCCCCAGCCCCCCAGGTGATATCAGAGCAAGGCTCCCAAGTCAGCCTCTTGGCCCCCACCCTCAAAGCCCATGTTCTGTAAAGCCCAAGAGAAAACGTGGAGTTTCAGCAAGGCACTACTGTGTTCCGGGGGGGCCGTCATCTGGGTACACCCAGGACCCTCTGCTGGCTCCAACTCACAAGTCCTGGGGTGGCTTTGGGGGAGTTCTCTATGCTGAGGAACTAGACTGAAATGGCACCACTCAGCCAACAAGGTGGCAAGTGCCTGGACCTGCTGGCTCATCCCCACTGTCCCCACCCACTCACCTGGGGGCCTCAATGCCAGGTCAGGATCCCACCTGAGGGCTGAAGAGTGGGGCACCACCCAGCTGCCTGCATCAAGCAAGTCCAGATCTCTCAAGGCCAAGGTCAGCTCTTGGCCCCCTGTAGTTGAGAGAACCCCAGTTCCTGGACCAGTATGGAAAGCAATGAGGTGAAGGTGGAGAGCAGAGGAGGGAGGGAGGATTTCCTTTCTCAGAGAAGTAGGGTGGTTTTAGGGAACTGCAAAGACTCAGGCCTGAGAACCCATCACCCTGCTGCCTTGGGCCAGGCTGGGGCATCTGGTGAGGCAAGAAGAACAGAAAGAAATGGGAAGAGGCAGACAGAGCTGCCAGCCTGCGGCGTGCTGAGTCTCCTCCAACTCCCTGCTCTGTTAACTATCAGTCTATTTTCTTTCTTTTGTGTGGCTCTTTATAACTGCTTTGGATCTGCTCAATCTGTCCTCTGTTATATGCGTTTTCAAGGGAGATGGAATAGAAATCACACACTAAAAAGAAAAGTTTCAATGGTGGGACCATACCTATGGAGCATATTGCAAGGGTACAAGTCAAATCTATCAAGTATGGAAAACAAATGTCTTAACACTGTGTTTAAGTAAATGAGGTGAAAGCTATGTTAAATAGTAGGATATAAGAACTCCAGTTTGTAGAAATAACACATTGAATCCCACAAAGGCATAAATGTATTCAGGATCTATGTATATATGACTTAATAAAAAAAAGAAAATTTTCAGACAAATAATTTACTCAATTTTCTCATCTATAAAATGGGACACTACCACCATCTGCCACACCTTCCAGAGGGTGGGGAAACTTTGCAAAATGAACTTGGAGATGTAACTACAGGCAGTGTATACACATGTTTGTATATATCACAGCTGGGTGTGTCTCTTTGGTGGTCTCAAACCTACAGGTTCCTGACCTCCGGCCAATACATCTGGGGCAGCCTTTAGCCTGACCTTCCTGTGGAGGGATGAGGGGGGGAGGGCCTGACCTACGCTGTTGTGCCTGGCTGGTGCAGAGACAGCCAGGCTTGCTGGGTGTAGCGCCTCTGCAGCCTGCCTGCCAAGCTGCCATAGACAGCAAGAAACCCTTGTCTGGCAACTAGGATGACATCAGCCTACTCCCTTGTGCTCAGAAGTCACGCTGCTGGGGGAAGTCAGGCATGGTGGGGAAACAGGCTCTGGGGTTCCCTGCTAGTATCCCCTGGCTTGAAAGAAGTTGATGGTACCTTCAGCGGGTGCCCTCCACCCAACTGAATAAAAGCTTGGGAGAGGGGCTTCTGGCCGTGTCCTAAGCTCCTGAGGACAGAACAGTCCAGCAGAGTTCGTGGTTGCCCTCTACACTTAGTCCACTTAGGACATGAAGGAGTGTCACTTCCTCCCCCCACTTGCTGCTGGGGAGTGCGGGGTGTGGGAGACATCAGGCCCCGCCCAGAGGGGCAGGCTGGGAAGCATAGATGTCCAAGGTGATAGGGGTCTGCGAGGCTTTAACAGAGCTGAGGGAGAGCCCCTCCCAGGGAAAAATCCCAGCTTCCTGCACTCCTGGTGAAACAGAACCCTCAGGTCAAGGGAAGCGCCTTCCAGTCCTCGCTTGCTCTGCTCAGAGGGCCTGGGGCTGAAGGGCAGGCCGGGTGTGGTGGCGCTCACAGCCACCAGGGGGAGCCTCCGAGCCCCCCAGGCCTGGGCCAGGCCTTTGCAGCCGGTGCACGCCTACCCCGGAGGGGTCCTGCTGCCGCTGGCTCACACTGTTAGTCCGCAAGGATAGGTTTCCGCGCTGGCGCTTCCAGGTGGTCCCTTTTTCTTGTAAGATATCAACCAGCCTGGTTAAAACCCTTTGCCATCTTCAGAAGGCACAGATTGCACCCAGTTGCTCATGTGGTCTTTGTAATACAAGCATAAACCTTACCCAAAGGCAAGGCTTGCAATAAAACCAGCCCAGCATTCAGGTGAGAGGGGAAGCCCTCTCTGCTGCCCTCAGGAAGCTGGGAGAAGGGGAAACGCTTGCCCCTGCCCTCTTTCTACAGACGCTGGATGAGACAGTGAAGGAGAAGCTGCCCCCAACTGCAGCTCAGGCTGTAGTTTCTGCAGGAAGGTCCCTAACGACAGGAAGGAGGCTGTCTTCCAGGGCCTGGTGGCTCTGTGAGTGCACAACGGGTGGAGAGTCCCTTACAAGTCTGAGGGCACCTTAACTTGTGGATCAATGGTGACAAACAGTTCCTCTGTTCAGAGATACTCAAATAGAGATCTGCCCCCACCAAGACCTCCAAAGCTTAGTGCTGGAAATAGTGTTGCAATATTTATGCTCAGACCTTGGGGCCACGCAGGCATCTTTCATTTACTGCAATGTGGCCTTGGACAACAGACTTAAACTCCAAAAGCCTTATCTCTTTGCTTAGAGAATGACCATTCCTGCATTGTAAAATTCTTAAGTAAAGGGGAAAAAGGACCTGATGCATTAAAGATCTCTGAGGAGTTGTTAGTTCCTCTTTCTGCCCAGACCTTGGGACCTGTGGTGCCCAAGGAGAGACCTGCCTGGGATGGCCATGCCCCTGAAGCAGGTGCCTGGCACTGTAGAGTGCCCAGAGGCCCAGAAGGTCCCGGGTCCACAATTTTCCAGATGGTGAGTAGGTCCCAAGGGCTGTGGTGCCCCAGGAGCCAGCTGTGCCTACCTTATCCGAAATCTGCTGCCCAGGCCTGCAGCCTCGTTTTTATGGTGGTTGCCACCCCCTAAAAGTCATTCCCTTCCTCAAGCTGGCACCCCCCCCCACACATGGCCATCAAGGCTGCAGAAGTTTCCAGAAAGGTATTTTCTGACTCCATGGAGATCAGGTCACATCCTCAGTCCCTCTTTAGGAAGAGGAACATGAAAATCCCCCTGTGGGCAGCAGCTTCCTACCTTTGGAGGCTGTCGAGAACACCTCTTCCCGGCTTTGAAGCCCCCTACTTCTCTATGTGGGCTGTCCACACACACAAACACAGGGCCCAGGCTTGGGGCTTCCCAGCCCCACTCCCCACATAGCCCTTCCTACGGAGGGGATTATCTCGGGGAATCCCAAGTGCCAAGAACAAGCTCTTACTAATGGATCTCAAGTCTGATCTTCCACCAGATGCCCTGAAGCCTTGTTAAAATAGAGATGCTGGCAGCCAGCAGTTTCTGATTACGTGGCCTTGAACAAAAGACTTAAACCTCAAAAGCCTAAGAGTTTCCAATTCAGCATGCCTGGGGGAGAGGGGTGGTGAAAATTTGCATTTCTAATCAATTCCTAGGTGGTGCTCAAGCAGGGACCAAACACAGAGAACACCAGGGTCTTAGATAAACCCCTGAAGAACAGCAGCCCAGCTGCACCTCCCACCACACCCCATGCCTCCTCCATGAGTTCTGAAGGGGGTGCCACATCTTTAGCAACACAGATCAAAGCCCCTCTGACCGTATCTGCCACCCTTTCTCTCCTTGTCCCTGCTGCCCAACACACTGGCACACAGGACGCAGGGCTCATTCCACTCACCAGGTCAGCACCTGCTGATTAGTCATCCAAGAACTACATGCAGTGACCCACACTGTACAGAACTAGGAGTGGCTCCACAAATAGATCAAGTAAGAAAAGAGATAGTGGAAACAAAGGGAGCCAGGCAGCTCGTAGGCTGGGGGCGGGCAGGGTAAGGTGAGTGTCGGAGAAGGCTATTCCGGCCGAAGGCAGAGTGTGCAGAAGCAGGAGGCAGCGAGGCAGCCAGATGGGGAGGGCCACGTATTGGGCCCCTGTGTGGAGGGCAGGTCAAGGCAAGGTGGAGTGCTAGGTTTGTGCCCTCCCAGGTCATCGCAGGTTGCTTCAGCATGGCTGGGCCAGGAGCCGGAAGCTTCCCTTCCATCCAGACACACATAACTGGAGCTCCTAAATCATGTGGCACAGGACCTGGCTGAGGGGTGCCACAGGTGGCTGACAGAAGCCATTCGGCAGGTGGGTTCCAGCTGGCTCTTCATCCTGTTACTGACCGGCCACCCCCAGCTGCCCAGAGCTGCCTGGACATTGCAGCTAGCTCCTGGTCTCATAATTCCAGAAGAATATGTGGTTGTTTGAATAGCTAATGAGGGAGGTTTAGTGAGTGAGTGGCCTCTACCCTGATGGGGTCTTCAGGTTTCCTGGGGCTTGTGCTACCCATTCCCATGTTCCACAACAGAAGGGGGACAGGAGACTCAGAGTCGACCTGCCCTGGTCAGACGCTGATGGATGGGAGAAATGTAGGGGCTAAAACCATCCCCCAAATAAAACCTTACCACGATGAGACTGGCCATTAGGTTGTACAAATATCCTGAACTAGACCAAGATGGGTGCACAAAGCCATGACCAAGGTTCCCCTGTGAAACATCTGGAGGTTCTTGATAGTGGCAAGGCCAGGGCTCTGCCTGACTCACCTAGTGTCTGGCTCCCTGAAGTACTGTTGGTGACCACAGGCTGTGTTTGGTGTCAGACATGTTTTGTTAAGCACACATGGTGCCTCAAGATTTGGGAAATACCTCATGAAATTCCAGATATCTAGCTTCTTTTGAAAAATTTGAAAGGGTCTGATTCTACTAGGCCCACATTCTTACACAGCAGCAATTGGTTTGATCTGATGGGCAGCCGCGACCTTCAGTGGGGACCACCCCTCATGCACGCCCTGCTTAGCCCTTCAGCATCATCTGAGCTTGTAACCCTGGAGTCTCACACTTCACCTTATGGCTGAGGGCACTGAGGACCGGGGACACAGAGGAGACTGTCCAGGTACACAGCTGGGTTGGTAGGGAAAAGAAAGGGACCAACACCTCCACTACACCCTCTGCCGAGTGCCGTAATGGACAAAGAGCATGAGTGATGAGGGTGACCGTATAATTTATTCTCGAAACCAGGTCACTACTAAGAGTGAAGGGAATAGTCTTAATAATTACCCTGAAACAGGTGTAAGTCAGGACTGTCTTCAGCAAACTGGGATAAATGGTGGCCCCACGGATAAGAAAGAACAGGCCTTACCTCTCTGTGTCTCAATTGAAAGCTTTTGCCCTCATAGTAGCAGTTGTAGGTTTTCAGCAGGCTCAAGAGCTCTGACCTGAAAAGGTAAAGACACACACACTCTTGGGGTGTGGCCAGGCTTTGGACAGGGCTCTGGCTTCCCTGGCCTTGGTTTCTTCATTTGTAAAAGGAGCACAATAGCACAGGTCTTGCCAGCCACACAAAAGCAGAAGAGAGGCCAGACCATGCCTGCCTGACACACCCACTGTATCTTCCAGAGGTTTCGAATCTGGGCCCTGGTGGGAGGCATGGAGAGGGGGCCAAGAAGGAAGTGAGACTCTTGGGACGGGCCATATGACCTGTGTGTGCTGGCACATTGTCACTCTTACACGTGGGAGTCCCTGACAGCCTCCCTGACCTTTACCTCTGAGTCACAAGTCACAAGTAAATTCCCTGGGCTTGGATTGTTGGCATATGAAAGACTTGCTTTCCCCTACATTACTTCCTACAAGGGCCTCGTGTGGCTGCTATAGGGGCACCTGCTTCTCCCCATCCTGACTTTGAGGGTACCATCCTGAAGGCCTAGAGGGGACCACTTTGCCCAGATGCTTTCTCTCAGCCTAGAGGGAGAGCCACAGTGCTCTGGCTGGTGTGTAGAAGAGGAGCCAGGATAGCCCATGTACCAGCCTGGGCTCTGCAGGGCAGCACAGGTGAGCAGATGTGAGTGTGAGCCACACTGGTAACTTTCAATCTTCCAGTACATGTTAAGAGGGAAAATGAAATAGATGAAATTATTAATAGTATTAACATTACATTTTAGTGAACACAATAAATCTAAATTATTATCCTGTCAACATGGGATCCATATAAAAATTATTAATGAAGTCTGTATGTTCTTCTGTTTTGTACAAAGTGTTTGCCTTCAGGAACATCTTTTCTGTGAACTGTACCTCATAGCCAATGGTTACCTGTGGCTTGTGGCTCCCTTACTGGACAGGCTCAAAAACAAAAAAGCACCTCATCACTGTCCCCCAGGACACAGCGTCAGTGAAAAAGTGCCCCAAACTCCTCCACCCCAGAGCAGGGGTGGCCCTAAGGAAATGGCAGGGGTGACCCACCCCCATCCCACAGTCTGCACACCAAGGCTTACTTCTGAATGGATTTGCTATCGCTGATGGGCACTTGAGAGCTGGACGGACAATCTTCCTTCATCTTCTCCTCTCGTCTGCAGATCGGAAGTCACCTGCTGGAAGACATTGAAGGACACCCAGACAGGTGAGCAGGGTGTAGTGTGCCCAGTGCAGTGCCCAGCAACCCGCATCTGCAGCCAGCAGACGCCTTGGTCTCCACATCACACTCACCTGGGCACAGGCTCAGAACCCCATGGCCACATGTCAGCCAAGGTCAGAGCTGGTTGGGCAAAGTCATAACTGCTGAGCCGATGGTACTGGTCTTATCAGCCCCCAACCCTGGGAGATTATCCATAATCCCCAGAAATATAAATCAGTCTCCTTAAGATTTCAGACCACAGGCTCGGCGCCTATAGCTCAAC